AGCCTTCTCGCCCGCACGAGGGCCCCGCACTGCGGAAAGGGCCCTGGGGCTTTTTATGCACCACCTCCAGGCGTTCCGGGTTTCCCCCCTCGTCCCCCGGCAAAACGGTTTGAGGGCCGGGTTGAGCCCTTTCTTCCTCTGGGAAGGCTCCCCTAACCCCAGTCTCACCGGTCGCTCGCCCCTTCGCCTTTCCCTCCCTTCCCTCCCAAGTCCTCAGGGCTGGACAGACGGGGCCTCGGAAAGCTGGGTGTCTCCTTAAGACGAGGTTCACCCCTTTAGTCTGGGGTAGGGGATAGCAGTTCTTGTTACTGCAGATCGCCGGAAGAAGACCCCGGGACTGTAGAAATAACTTAATGGTATTTTCTTTGCTCAGTGTGAAAAATGTGGCTTGGGGAGAAGATGGGGAATACTGCAGAATTTTGTTTTAGCACTTGTCATTTTCATGCTCTTCACAAGAGTTTAAAGTTTAAGCCCCAGCATGTCTCAACTAAAGAAGAGTGCACTGGGAGAAAAATGGTAATGGAGTTTCGGGTCTTAAAAAAATATGAGGGCGATATAACAAGTTTTCAGAAAATAGTGCTGCCTTATAAAATTCTGCCATTGACTAAGTAAGCACTTCAAGTACAGATTTCGAACCTGAAGTTTTATGCATCACTAGGAGCCTACTTCCACGAAGGAGAGCCTAGAAACTCCTTCAAAGCCGGGCCTTATGTGAAATGATCGGAAGCCAGGCAAGTTTAGATCTCGCCCTGAGGTGCCAGAAAAGAGGGTTGGTTGTGGCTGGTAAAGGCAACGTGGTGCTGAAAGCTGAACAGAAATGTCAAGGCCCGATAGTATTTCCACTGCTGCCCCGCCAGTCCTATCCACTGTGCCTTCACGGCGGGCGGCCCGAGATGCAAATGAAGTGTAGTTTTCATACAAACACGGAATTGTTTGAAGGTAAATGGCCCATAAAGGCGAGTCTTTGAAATCCAAGTCGTTCCTTTGCATTCTAAATTCTTCCTTTGCTTTGGGAAGTTTAGCCACCACACTACCCACCTCTCAGGATAGTGTTCTGGATTTAAAACATCTCTTCTTCAGTGGTGTGAGGAAGTTGTTCATTTCACTTCCTGACTTGAACTCCTTGGGGATGTGCCTAACAATAATAGCAGAATACCTGTGAAATTAATACACACATCCTTAGGAAAACAAAAATCGAAAGTGCTCCCATACACACCCCCCATACAACTTCACAGCAGAATGACTTCATTCTCCCCTCATGTGCCAGCAAGAATACATTTTGTGAACTTGAGTCATTAATAAAAGAGTCGTTTAAAGATTGCTCCTCCTCAGTTTTTTTCCAAACTACTAATAGAATTCAGTTTTAGACTTTAAATTCTAGCTGCTTTTTAACTTTGTTTAACCAAAAATAATAGAAATGAAAAGGAACTTTCATTTTCTGGTTATCTCTTAGTGATCTGAATGGAAATAACATCACACGGATTACGAAGACCGATTTTGCTGGTCTCAGACACCTCAGAGTTCTGTAAGTGTGTTCTTCCTCTGTAATTTGGAAAACTGTTTGTTTTTAAGATTACACATTCAGAACTGTTACTGGTCTCAGTTTCTAAGTCCTGTCCAATGACACGAACAAAAAAATATAAAAGTCTTGCTTTCTCATCTTTTTTAATCACTAAATTACAACTTTAGTAAAAATGTGGACCTTTATTTTAAGATTGGATGTCTGCCATAGAAACATTATTATAGAAATGACCTCAAATCCTTGGTTTACCATACCCTAAGTGCCTTAAGTGCATAAAAATGTGGAATAGTTGCTTTTATAATATAAATAAATTATGTGAGACATTTGATACTTTTCAGATTTAAAATTAACTTGATAAAAAGTTAAGTGGATCTGTGTTTTATTATGAGATCAAAATGTTCAGGAAAGTTTTTTGCAAAGAACAATTAGATATAAATTTTATAAGAATCTAATGATTGAACTTAGCAGTTTTTGGTGGAACAATATTTATTTATAAACGTTTCATTGGCGATATTTTGAATTGTTCCTTACATTTAATTACTTTGTGGCTGATATAAAATTATTATGATTACTTTAATGAGTGTGATAATTTAGCTGTGAGTAAGCCATCACTGGAGAGTAGGTGTTATGTAAAACTACTTTCTCCCACAGGATTGTAAATATTTACACACCAACGGCCGGCCATATACTTTTGACCACTGCACATTCAGTGTTCAACTTTTAAGACACACTTTGGCCCTTATGAAATCTCCCAATTGCTAATGTATATCTGTAAGTCAGAACTGAAGTATGTGTGTGATGAATTTCTGCATATTGATTTCCTAGTTAAGAACTCAATGGTAAATCTGTGTACTAGAAAACATCTATCAAAGTTGAAATTGTCATGAGTTGCTTTTTGCTTATATTTTAATGTTCATACTTTTGGCTAGTAAATTTTGTGAGAAACTGTTGTAGTGTTTTCTGTGAGAATTTTGTGACATGAGTGTTTCTCCTCCCTGAGTTCTTTCACATGTATCATCATTATAGTTGCTATTATATCTCAATCCAGATCTCAGAATCTATCTTTAGGAAAGGAAATAGGCTACATATTTTCATTTGCTGAATTGAAATGTGCTCAGAAGGTGACATTAAGAAACATATTCCATTATGTATTTCAGTCAGCTTATGGAAAACAAGATTACCGCCATTGAAAGAGGAGCATTCCAAGACCTTAAAGAACTGGAGAGACTGTAAGTATTTTCAATTCCACACTCATGACAACATGACTGTGGCTTTCCAAGCACTTGAATTTCAAGGATTATGCCTTCAACTTCATCATGCCTTAGGTTTAAAAAGTTTTCATAAAAGGGAAGTTGAATAAATAGTTTTCAGATTAATTTAAAACAAACAGCCTTTGGATAAAGACTACTAAGGTGAAATAAATCACGAAAGTACAGATTTCATTTCCTTAGATACTTATTTCCTTGCTCTGGTAGTGGAAGGTATACATGTTTTTCCTATTTTGTCATATGATTTGCTTTATTTGTCTATACAGGGAGAAGTTGGTAATTTTATTTGCATTAGTGGTGCATTATGGAAAAGGGAGGTTTACCAACAGTCATTTTAACTTCCATGTTTTGTGTGTCTTCAGTGATATTTAAAGAAATATTTAAAATATTTACTCATATTTTATATTTTGATATTTAATGTGGTGAACTTGGCTAATAGCTGATATTCATAGTTTATTTCATTATTTAATAGGAGCTTTAAATTATTTCTGCTGGAACTGTAAAGAATATTAAAGTAAGAACTTTATCATTAAGGTTTATTCATTTAACACTGACTCTTTTTTCTCCTAAGAGGATTAATTTAGACTTGAGACTTTAAAATATTTTTTAGACCACTAAATCTTCTGTATTGATATACATGACTTAGGGACATGTAACTCATGATCACACAGGGTATATCTACAAAAGATAAAACCTGAATCTAAAATAGGAGAAATTACAGACGTGGTAATTTGAAATAATGAATTGCACACTTATATGTTGATTATTCAAATTTGGTAGGCTTGCATTTAAGGGCCAATAAAAGCACTATTAATTGTTTTAGTAAGTTTCCATGCCTGCTTTAAATAGCCACTTAAAATAAAAATAAAACTTTCATTTAAAATAATGAAATGTGGTCATTTTAGTCATAACATATATTCAGGTTCACTGAGCCCCAGGCCAAAAGTTAATTCTACGTGACTGTCCACAAGTAGAAAATTGTTTTTTGTCATCTTCTGAGATATTTGTGAATATATGGACTACATTTTTGTCACCTCAAATTCAACAGAAATATCTACTTTATCTTACCATAAAACTTTGTTATGATAAATATTAAAACATAAGAAATACAACTATAGAATTCAAAATAAATTTAAAATCACTACTTTGAGGTACTTTTGGAAGGGGATAAAAAACACAATAAGCATTGGGTAGAGTTCAAAGCAAAAGTTCATGGGCTCATAACCTATTCTTAAGTACATATGCTGTGGAAGTATGTATTCTTTGCTTTCCTTCATTGGCTTTCATGGATAGTTAATACCTAGCGAGTAACTTACAATGATATTTTCAGTCTAGCTGGTTAAAAAGTATTGATATGTTTTTAAATGAATAGGTAACTTAATTAACAATTTTATCATTAACGGTTTTGTAAAACTAACTTCTAGTCACATGGAAATAGCTATATCTTGGCTTGTAAACAAAGTCATAATGGCTTTTCATGCGGTATCTACTTTGTTTATATTTAATATTACATGTTTTCAGGAACAATAGAACCAAACACACTTTGTTATTATTTTTCAAGGAACTACAGAGTACCATCTAAACTTTAATCTTGAATAAGTTAACTTTTCTTAAAAATGATTAACCAGATGCTGTATGATCTGAAATCTGATTAGAGTTGTAAGTAGGTACTAGATTTTTACTTTTCACTTCCCTGGGGAATGTCACTTCATTTCACAACAATTTACTCTTCTACTAAGCCAGAGTCAGATGTTTCAGAGTGGGAGAAGGATTTGTAATTTTGAATGAAAACTAATATATATGCAGGACTTCTTTAAATCACCCCAGCTGTTGACTGAGAGCAAATATTCCATATTTGTGAGGAAAAGCTGAGAAAATTCCTTTTGTTTACAACTGCCAAGTGCATCTGATGGAAGCACATTGTTATCTGAAAGCCAATTCATCTCCTTGGGACTCTGGAATTCAAAACCATTTCTTAGGAACATTGTGGATACACTTTTCAAATATTTATTTTTTTAAATACATTAGATAGCAAAGCAGTTTTGCTAAGAAATGTATTCAATTATTATGAAACAAACTATTTTAAATTTTCTTGAGTGTATTTTTTGAAAAATTGGAAACAGTAACATACCTTGGGAGTTAAATACACAAATTTTTATTATAGGTTTTGGTACATACCCATATTTTAGTCAGTGCCATTAGCATCAAAAATATTTACTGCTTTTTCAAGAATCAGCAGGGGACAATATGAGAGACAGGAAGTAATCAATAAATTAAATTTTAACTGTGAACGGTGAACAATTAATTTAGATATGCAACTTTAAATTGGACTCTAAATTATGAAAAGGTGAATAAATGCAGATTTGTTTTGTAAATGCCATTCATACAATGAAGTGACTTATTTTCATTACCTGCATGAAGAACAAAAAAATGTTAATTTTATGTGTGTATAATTTATAGCTCTGAGTTTCTCTTGTATAAAAATAAATATTTCAACGTTATATTTTTTTCTTATTTTATTGGGATGGAATTCTTTAGAGAAAAAAGACAAATCTGAAAACAGAAGATAAGCTCTGGTGCCTTTTAATAAATGTAATATTAATCTGTAAGAAACAACAAATGTTGCTAATTTTAATTTAGTATCACCCTGAAATGAGAAAGCCATTATTTGTAAATAAAAGCATTAGAGTTACAAAAGAAAGATACTTTTCCATCAAAAGAACGGATGTAGTTCAGAATTTTCAATTCAAATGTCAAGGACTAGATGAATGGGTAAAGGATGAAAATATTTTCTTCCTCTATTGTCTGCTTCCTTTCTTCTTCCTCTCTCTTGCTCCTTTATTTTTCATCCCTTTTTCCTTACCCTCTCCCTCCTGCCCTTTCCCCTTCACTCCTTTCTTTTTGTTGTATAGGGAATAACATCAGGTGATGTCATCAGATCATCATCGCAATGTGGTTCCGAATCATTGTAGAAGGAGCGAGTTTTAGTTCTCACCCTGCCTGCACACCTGGAGCTCACATTATTTCCTGTTGTGATGACATTTAGCTGCTCCACTCCCCAACCTGACTGCAGTGGCAGGTTCTCCAGGAGTCTCTGTACTGGCAGCTGTACCTGTTTAGCTGAGAAAATGTGAAGCAATGTCTGTGTTTATTAGTGTTTCTCCTATTGTTTATTCATAGGTTCAGAGGAATTCGAATGTAGTTTAATGACTAGCTAATTAGTGGAAATCAAGCAAAAACTACCGGAAGAGTACAGCAAAGGATTAGAACACATACATACATATATATATAATACATAGATATATCTAATGTGTGTGTGTGTGTGTGTGTGTATATATAACATTGTGTGTGTATATATATATATACACACACACACATCAGATACATACATATGTATGTATCTATATCTATATATCTACATAAACTCTCCATACAAAATCATCACTGTCTTTGTCTTTGTTATTACTATAATTATTATTTGAGACAACGTCTTGCTTGTATTCCAGGCTGTGCCTGAACTCACTATGCACTCCAGGCTTGGCCTTGAAAGTGTGGCAGTCCTCCTGCCTCAGCTTCCAGAGTGCTGGGGTATCACAAGCATGTGACATCCTACCCGCCCTCCATACACAATTATTAATTCAAGATATTTCATAGCGGTACAATCTAGATAGCTAGAAAAGTAACAGTGGAACACAGAAATTGTGTGTACTGCTGTAAAATTGTGTTGCATGGTTATAGTTTCTGTACAGTTAGGATTATGCTGCATAGAACTAGAGTGTCATCCAGTTCTATTTTAGGGTCTTTTCTGAGGAACTGGGTACTTCAGGGTTTTAGTAGTGGAAATCATCTTTTCCCTTTGAAAATTGCTTCAAAGCACAAATGCAGTATTATGAGAAAGTTCTTCAAATTTTTAGTGCTATCATAATTTTGATATTTATTCTAATATCACAAAAATGAAATTCATACATGCCTCACTTAATGTTGGCGAGAACCAATACCATGTCATGGAAAATCTTGGATATTAGGCTTTCCATGGATATTACCACCAGCTTACACAGCTTACACAGCTTACATCAGCCAGGAGTTTACAGAAGTGACAGCGGCAATCGTGGGCTTTTCATCTTTTCCCACCAATAATGCTTTAATTGTGCTTTTGAAAGAAATACGCTGCCTTAAACACTTCAAATTTTAGTATCTTTGTATTTGAAATGATATTTTTCCTACTAGTTTTGTCATTGGATATTTATTTTTGTGGAAAACTGAACCTGGACATATTTTTATAATGCCAAAATGTAAGAAATACTGGAAAATATGTCCATTAATTCTATTTGTTTAACTTTCACTGAGTTGATACAAAGGAGAGATACTCATTTCAATTTAGAAAACCTAAATCCCTTTGCAGTAGATCCTGCGTGTGAGTAAGCATTGTACTCCTATAAAGGAATGTCTAGACGTATATATGTTCTTTTCCGAAGGCGGTGCTGACTTGGTTCTCTGTGTGAACACCGTTCATACGCAAGTGACAGTGTGAGTGGGACCGGGGATATCCCAGGGTGTTTGTTGTAGGTTGCTACAATGTATGAGTTCATGCACAGAATACGTTGTGGAACAGGTCTGAAGCAAAGCACCAATTGTGCTGTGCTCCCCAAAATTGTAGAGAACCCCTCTGGGACTAATCCCATAAATTTACGGGCAACACATGACATATTACCTTTTCTTATTTACACCTAATCTCTCTCTAAGTTTTCTCTTCACACCTAAGTTTAAAATCACTGCAGTCAGTTCCTTAGAAAGTCTCTGTAGAGAAGCACATCAGGCTCTGTAACAAAGACTCAGTATGCCAGATAAAGCAAAAATGCGCTAACTGAGTGACATCCATGAATTGTCAAGTTGTTCTCATGTATTTGTAAGCAGCATGGAGTATTTTAAATTATGCTTACTGACAGTGCTCATAGAAAGCT